ATTATCAAAATAATGTTTTATTATAGTTATATGACTACTGTTTTTGTTTGATACCCATTATCGTACACCTGGACGACATAGGATCGCGTCCCGATGATGATGTCGATGATTTTGTTGTTAATTTTGGTACTAATATAATTTGTCCGACAAACAGATGATTATCGGACATACGATTCAATCGTTTGATAGTTGCCGGCGTTGTCCAGAATCGGGCGGCAATTGAATTAATATTATCATCCAATTGTACCTCATATTCCTGGCTATTGTTATCAGCGGTTTGTTGTTGTTGTTGTTGGCTAGCACTGGGATTAAATAGTTTAGGTATGAGCCGTCTGGTAGGTGCTGCCGATGATGATGATGACTGGTTGGCCGCCATCACTGTGTCAAACATATTGGTATTATAGTTATGTTCGGCCAGTAGTGGGGCAGCCGTTTGGCGCCTGATGTCTGCCTCTTCGGCTCCGTTAGCCATCGAAACATAGGATGATTTTGGCCACAAATTATCAAACAAACCCATAGTTTATTTTACTTATTATTAGTATTATTATTGCACTTTTGATTTATTATTTTTTGATGTCAATTATTAAATAGTCGGTTCAATTACCAAAAAAAACTTTACAAAAAAATAAAGTTTTTGTTGTTGAGTTGTTGTCCTAATTATAGTAAAATATGTTATTTTTTAAAAAATTAGTATGTTTTATAATTAGTATAATATATATATAACAGTATGTAATTATTATACTAAAAATTATTAAATAATTGTTACTAATTTTGTTTATATTAAAAATTAATTTTTTTAATATATAATTTATATATATATTCTAATAAATAAAATTATTTAATTACTATAAATTTATTATATATAGTATTATACTATTGTAAGTATTAAATAATATTATTGTTAAAATTAAATTATATGTACTGTATATACAAAATATAAATACTATTGACTGATAATATTAAGTACATATTTTTTTCCTATTGTATATATATATTGTATTACATACTGGTATTTATTAAAAAAAATTGCATTATAATGGATGATATTATAATATTAGTAAAATATTATAATAATAATAATACTGACAATAGATACCGGTATATAGCAATATATATACAGTATTAATGATTTGCATAATATTTATTTTTGAAATAAAAAAAATTATTTGCTTGTATTCATCATTTATTTTTGGGTCATTATTTAGGTTATCTACATAAATAAGCTATTGATCTCATATATATATAATAATAATAATAATAATAATAATAAATATTATGACAATTAAAAATTATATATATATATATATATGATATTTTCAACAAAAAAAATATAATTAGTTACTAAAAGTATAACTATAATAATATACATAAATAATTAATAAACAATATCTATAATATAATAACAATATATAATTACCTTATAATAAGTAAAAATTAAATTATTATTATTCAATATAATATTACTTAACCATATAATCACACATAACTATTATATCGTATTAAACAAAAATTTTGTTTATAAATATACAAGTTTTTAATATTTATATATAAAAATATTGTATTCAATATGTTTGAAAATTAATTATTTTGTTGATATTTTTTAGTAATATTTATAAAAATATATAAAAAACACACACACAGTAAAACATATGTTATTTTAACACAAACATAATAATAATAATAATACTGCTGTTTATAAACTATATAATTAATTAGATTTATATTTTTAGTAAAAAATATAAATACTGTATACAAACATCAAATTATATATCATTTATTATAAAAAAAATTAATACATTTTTTAAAAATAAATGTCAACCTATTATATATACTGTATATAAAGTATTGTAGTTTTTTTTGTTGTTTAGTTATAATGGTATTAATTTTTGATGCCAACATATATTTTATTATAAAAATTTATTATATTTTATTAGTACAATATATACTATACATAATAATATTAACATTAAACACAAAGAAATTATTATTTATTGAAAATATATATATTTATACACAATATATACCACTATATATATATATGATTAATATATTAATTACAGACAAATATATATTTTCATAGCGTCTGTATATATATATAAATAATTATTAATACAATTGTTTGTATGTTTTTTAATACAGGTATAACAAAAAGCGATCACATTTTATGCTAAATAATGACATTTTACTGTTTTATTGTGTTTAAGCAAAACATGATTTGACACAAAATTAAATTAAATAAATTATTGATAAACAATATTATGGCTGAATTAAATACAATTATATATATATATATATTTAAAAAATTATTAATATTTAATATAGTTGAATCAACTTTTATTATTATTATTAGTTATTTTTTTTAATTTTTGTATATAAAGTTTTTTTAAAACTACAAAATATTGGGATTTAATTAGTTTACGTAAAGTTTTTAGACTATTTTTTTTGATAATAAGATTTTTTGTTTTTGTTTTGTTGATTATTATTATTAAATAATATATGAATTTATTTTATTTTTTAATTAATTAACTTTGATATGAAAATTAGATTAAAAAAAATCTCATCAAATAAACAAACAGAAAAAATATATTTAAAAAAGTTATTATGTTTTTTAAAAAAAAAAGTTTAATAACTTTTTTTTTACTACTTTTATTGTTTATAGTTTTTAACTATAACAGTATTATAGTTGAGTTGATAGGCATTGACAACATTGGGTTAGTTTAGTAATGTTTTGTCACAATTTGATGGACAGTTAGCTCTCACAGTTAGCTAACTAACTAATTAATTAATAGTTAGTTTATATTAATTAAATAAAAAAAAAATTTTTAGCAACAAAAACACTCACAGCCGTCGTTATCATTATCACAACAACAACAACATAGACAACACCGTAAACATTGACAGCACAGACACTCTAGAAACAGGCATAACATGCATAGTATGGCCAACAATACGAGCACCGATACCACAACAATAATTATGATGACTGTGCCGTCTAACATAATAATACATATATATATATATATATATATATATATATAACCTTTAAAAATAACAAAATCACGGTAACAAAAATGATATAATAATAATAATAATACAGTAAATAAAAAACTTTTTAATTACTATTTTTATGGTTTACAACAAACAAATAAACAACAAAAAATAAATGGTGTCATTGAAAATAGTAAAAATATTATTTTTTTATTATTTAATTAAATTTAATTGAAATCTAATTTATTAGATTAGCTATGGTTTACTACTACTACTACTATATATATATATATATATATATATATATATATATATATATATATATATATATATATATATATAATGAAAATAGACATTAATTTTTTTAATGTCATATATATATATATAGCATATACTGGTAATGTGTAATAAAAACGGAAATGTATTGTTTGAGTATAAAACTTATTGTTATATTTAATAGACTTAATATATTTGTTGTTTAAAAATATGATAAAATTCACGTCCCATTCCTGTTATTTATTTATATTCAGTATATATATATATATATATATATATTGATATATATACAGTATATATCTAAGGTAAATGTGATTTTTACAATAAATGCACAAACAATTTTAAACAGTTTTAAAAATATTTATAATGTTTATAAATTTAAATTATAAGATTTATAATAATTTTTTTGTCAGATATAAACTATTTTTATAATAATTATTTTTATTTTAGTTTATTAAAGTATCCTGGATCAACTACACGATAATGTTTGATATAAATCAAACAACTCTAGTTAATGTATTAATTAATTTTAGCAGTTTATTATTTTTTTATTATTATTATAAATACAGTTTATAAATATTTATTATTATTATTTTCTCAATACATATTACGGAATAATAATTTACGATTATTTTATGCTTATTTAGTATTAGACAAATAAACAAAAAAAAATGATTCAGCTATTTATAAAATATATATATATATAAATTATTTTATTTAATTTTTAAAAATATATATATTTATAAGACACACACAAAAAAATTATAATTTTTTACTAATAATTTTGTTAATAATAAAAATTGTAAAATATATGATAAAATTTAAATCATCAAGTTTATAAAGTAGAAATTATGATATTATTATTAATAATAATTTAATATCAATTGTTAATATCTAAAAAACAAAAATAATTAATTATAACAAATAAAAGTTTATATAAGGTTAAAGTAAAAAAAATATTATTTTATTTAATTGACACTAGAAAAAGCTAGCATTAGTTTTAATTACATAATAAAATAATTTTTTTAATTAAATATTTTTGGATTATTAATTTTTAGTATAATTTTTTTTATAAAAAAATAAATAAAACATAACTATCATAATCTTAATGTAAAATAATAACATCAAATCATAGAGTAGTTTATAACTATTACTTAATCTTATAAATTAAATTGTTAGATTAATAATTAGTTTTAATCACATAATTAAATAATTTAAATATTTTTGGATTATTAATTTTTAGTATAATGATTTTTTTATAATTATAATATATATATACCTATTATAATATTAATGTATAATAATAACATAAAATTATAGAGTAGTTTATAAATTTATACTTAATCTTATAAATTATTTATTAGATTAATAATTATAGTTTTAATTAATTCAATATATATATATATACATATTATAATACAAAGTCTAATAAAAAATAGTTAATAATTAATTTAACAATTTTATTATCTAATATTTTTATATATATAATAGGATCCTATTTTATTAGTTTAATAATTAATATATATAGAAATAATTTAGTACTTATTTTAGTTTAAAAAATTTTTTTTAGTTATTGTTTATCTTAGAAACTATATTATAAACATCTGTTTGTTTTTACAGTTATTATATCTAATTGAAAAAAAATTGATAATAAAATATTAAAGATATATTTTTTTATATAGATATTCAAACTATATATATATATTTATATATTATTTAACATTTTAATTGTTTTATTTAGTATTTACAGTAATTTACAATATATTTTTGTTTTATTTAACATACTATACAATGAATGTCTATTACATAATACAAGTAGTAGTAGTAGTAGTAGTGTTGGCTTTTGGTAGCCATCATCAGGTAGTCCTCAGTGAAAATGTGGCCAATTTATTGAGCACCCGATGGTATACCATCACCACTGATAGCCATAGCAATGATGACAGGGATGACCTACTAAACGATCCGTGTATCCAGAAATCAATGACCGATATATCCCTATGTATTACACCTAAAATCCAGAATCCGGACACTACTACACAGTTTATCTGTTGTTACGATTGGGTTACCTATGATTGTGTCGAACAGGTGGCACAGGTATGTATAAAATACATTGTTGTTGTTGGTCTAAAAAAAATTAGCATGCTTAATTTTGTTGATGTAGAAAAAATGTACATCCACCGAAAAATCAACTATGGATAAGTTGCTTAATAAGCTCAAGGATCAAATAGGTGGTACCGATTGTAAAGCTTATCCATATAAGCAGGGTATCGATCATTGTGAAGGTGGCAAATAAATAGCTACCTGTCCTGTCCAATAGAAATAGCACCCAGATGTTTTTTTTAGTTTTAAAAAAATTGAGATATTATTTTTTTCTTCAACAATTAATTGATTTAAAAATTAAATTTTTGATTTTATTGACTAATTTATTAATTTGAAAAAAATTATTTAAATATTTTTTTTTGTATAACATTATTATTATTAATGTTATTAATTTTATTAAAGTTAGTTTTTAAAAAAAACTATTTTAAAATATTTTTAATAAAGTTTTTCAATAAATAAATACATTTATCATAAAAAAATCATTATTTTGATTATCATTAAAATTATTTTTACTATATTATAATTTTTATTTGTGAAAAAAATACGTGATATTTCAATTAAAATTAAATGTTTTAAATTGTTTAATAAATTAAAAATTTATTATTTTTAAAGCTTTATTATAGACAATATTATAATACTACTAAAACATACTAAAATATTACTGTATTTTAAGTATAACATAAACTAATAATTAAATGTTTAATATTATAGTTTGATTTATTAGCAATTATTAATTACTATTTAAAAAATAGTAAATTATTTTATTTTTAGACAGATATGTTATTTAACAGATATTTATACAAAAATAAAATAAAATAAATATTTTTTTAAAAAAAAGTATTATATATTAAATATATATATATTTACTATATTAGCATAACTTAACTGAACTAAATTACATAAAACATAATATTAACCAATTTATTACTACTACTACTACTACTACTACCGCTTACAATATGAATACCTACCCGTCCTTAAGCTTAGTAATAATTTTAAATGCTATTATCGGCCATCAATTGGTGGCCATCAATACGCTAGATGTGGTCAGTTTGATTGACACCCGATTGATTGCCAGCGATAAGTTAGTTGATGACCTCAAAAATTACCCGTGTTTCAAAAAATCCGAGCCCGAAATCATCCATTAGATATAATCATACTATTATACAGTAATCATTTAATACATTTGTATAATACCATTATAATTAGGTTAAGGTTGCGGTCCGAACACCAGGTTAGGTAACGGAGCGAACACTAATTCAGTAGATTAGGTTATGTTAACAATTGTGTAAATAGGTTATGGTTAGTTAAATAGAAAATGATCTTATTTTTGCTTAAACTTATTTACTTTTAATTTATTAATTATAAAAATACGTGTAAATATCGCGCGAAATACAATTAAAATGATTGAAACAATAGCGCGTGTAAATAATATAAAAAACTGTGCTTACAAGATCGGCTCCATTTTTTTAATGGTAGACAAAGACACGTGAACTTCACTTTCCAGTAAACAACTACATTGGGAGTACCTATTGTTGGCGTTTCCACTACGATATGGCCCCCCTATATGATCGTTCCCTAAGTTCAGTGCTGTCACACACATTGTCGGCACGGAGCACCTTCCAGTCCAATCGATGGTTAACATTACGCATACGGCTCTGGATGTTGTCGCTCTGCCACTTGATGTCGCGGCCCGTTTCATTCAATGTCAAATTTACGGCATTTATGACATCCGGGCTGTATCTCTGTATGGATTCAGCTATCAGTGCTTCTCTTTGCTTTAATTTGTCCAATTTTCTAACCAATTTCTTTACTGCCTTCTTCTACTTCTTCGCCTCTTCAGCGTCAGAGTTCTTAGAATTAGTGCATCCCATGAGTGACAGTGAAAATAATATATATAAAAGAGAAAAATTAGACAAAAACTGACTGATATGACCGTTATCTTTGGATTATTAAATGCAATTAAATTATTTTTTTTTAATATAATTAACGGTTTAATAATTATAATTTATCTATAAGTTAATAAAAATATAAGTTATGTATGTCTATTACAAAGTGACTCACATATAGTAGATTTTTATAATTAGATCCAATTATCATCTAATGGTTAAAATAGCTGAAGATAGTCATAATTAGATCTAATTATCATCTAATGGTAAAAATAGCTGAAGATTGTGATAATTAGATCCAATTATCATCTAATGGTAAAAATAGCTGAAGATTGTGATAATTAGATCCAATTATCATATAATGGTAAAAATAGCTGAAGATTGTGATAATTAGATCCAATTATCATCTAATGGTAAAAATAGCTGAAGATTGTGATAATTAGATCCAATTATCATCTAATGGTAAAAATAGCTGAAGATTGTGATAATTAGATCCAATTATCATCTAATGGTAAAAATAGCTGAAGATTGTGATAATTAGATCCAATTATCATCTAATGGTAAAAATAGCTGAAGATTGTGATAATTAGATCCAATTATCATATAATGGTAAAAATAACAGTCATAATTACTTTTAATGTGTCGCTCGATTATTAATAATTTTAATTTATTAAATAAAAAATTAATTAATAAATAAAATTTTTATATAAATCTAGTTATATATAATAATAATAAATATTATATTAATTACTATTATTATATATAATAAAATTGGCTACAAAAAAATGATAACCAATTTTTTCAATATATTATTATTATTGTTTATAATAGCTATTAATATTAATTATAATGTCTATGAAATCAATTTGTTTGGTAGTATTACCGAAAACACTGCAAACATAGATAAGCTGAAAATCGATAGGTGTTTCCTGGAAAATAACAACCGATATACTCGGTTTGCGGTTTAGGTAAAACTCAACTGAACCTATCGAACACTAACCAACCGTACGTTTGTTGTCTGTATTGGATTATCTATGATTGTGCTAAATCTATGGGACAGGTATGTAATTTTTTTATTAGAAAATTTTAATTAATTAATTTTATTTTTTTAAATTAAGGAAATATGTACCCCAGCTGATTATTCAACAATGTTGATTGTACTTGATCAAATTAAAACTGATATACAAACTCAACAATGTCAACAATATCCGTATAAACAAGGTCAAACAAATTGCCTAGATAAATAATGATTAAATTATTATTATTATTATTAGTTATAATTAATTATTATTATTAGTTATAATTAATTATTATTATTAGTTATAATTAATTATTATTATTAGTTATAATTAATTATTATTATTAGTTATAATTAATTATTATTATTAGTTATAATTAATTATTATTATTAGTTATAATTAATTATTATTATTAATAAATATTATTATTATTAATAAATATTATTATTATTAATAAATATTATTATTATTAATAAATATTATTATTATTAATAAATATTATTATTATTAATAAATATTATTATTATTAATAAATATTATTATTATTAATAAATATTATTATTATTAATAAATATTATTATTATTAATAAATATTATTATTATTAATAAATATTATTATTATTAATAAATATTATTATTAATATATATTATTATTATTAAGTTTTATATGTGTGTGTGTGTGTGTGTGTTATAAGATAATATAAAAATAGTAATTAATTTTTTTTTATAATATATGAATTAATTACATTATTGAATTTTTAATACAATAATAAAAAAATTACAATTATTTGTGTACCAAAGTATATTAAATAAAAATTTTGTTTATAATTTTATTTAATGATTATTTTTTATTGATGTTTACTTAAAATGTTTTGTTTGTGTAAAAATTCTAAATTTTTTAACTGTAGTTAAAATATTTTTATTTTATTTTTTGAATAATTCTGATAAATTTTTTTAATATATAAATAATTATACTTTTTATTTTAAGATAGATAGCATTTTTAAATTTACTAAATATTACTAAATAAAAAATTATTATATATAAAACTTAAATTTTTATATCATATTTATAAAATTATTGTGTATAAAAATTTTGAAAATAATTTTGAAATTATAGTTTTAAATCTAAATAAAAATTAGTTTAAATAAACTAATATAAATATACGTGATATTTATTAAACTAAAAAAATTTTTTTTAATGGGATAAATAACTAAATAAATTATGAATAGTTTTTACTAAATACTAATATTTTTATATAATTTATATTTTTTTTAAATAAAAGTTTATATACAGTATATATATACATTAATAAAAATTTTTAAATATTTAGTATTCAAAAAAAAACAAAAACAAAAATTGTTATTCAAATTTAATAAATATATTATTTAAAAAAAATCCAAAAAATAGTTTTTTTTATTTAGTATATATATATAAATTAAATTTATTATTATTTTAGTTATTTAATTTTTTTTCAGCTAAAACATTAATTTTAATAGTATTTATTTTTAAATATACAGTTTTGAATTACTGAATTAAATGAATTACTATTTATCAAGCATAATAATTATTATTATTATTATAATTACCATAAATTACCATCATCAATTTGTCTACTGTGATGGTGATGAATTGGTTGATATCTTACAATCATTTCAAGATAATCATGGTTTAGCTGATCCATTGAAAACTTATCCATGTATTCAACGAGCATTTGAAAATGCAAAACCATGTATTGAAAACAAAATCGATGGCAAACCAGATAAAACTGATCAATCATTTAAATGTTGTTTATATAGGATTACTGATAAATGTTTAGATAAAGAAATAAAGGTAAAAAATAAAATGTTTTTTTTATTCATAAAAATATTTATATTATTTTTTTACAATTAGTTAATTAAATTTATAATTTATATATATATATATATAATTATATAAATCATTAAAATTAAAATTATATATTCAGATAGAATAATATAATTATATTATATTTTATGTTATTATCTATTATATTATTATTAATAATAATAATTATAATAATAATATGATTATTATCTATTATATTATTATTATTAAATCATAATAACAAATATGATTAATTTATATGTTTATTATAGATATTTTTGTATATATATATATAATAATTAAAAAAAAATAATCTAAAATAATCTAGTATAATTTAGTATTTGTTAGAGTATTTTTTAAAAAATAAAATAAAATACCCTTAAAAAAATTTTCTATTTGTATTTATCTATTTGATAATTTTTGGTTTATTTTTTCATATTATTGTATTTTCTAAATAATTGTTTTAATTAATTTAATTAATTTTAATTATAATTAAGGCTGAATGTACTGGATTGGAGGATAGACTTATAATATTACCATTGATAAAACAATTGATAGATAACATTGATAATGCCCAGTGTATTAATTATCCGAAATTAGATGATAATGAAAAATGTAAGGGTAATAAAGTCAATTAAATTCAAATGAAACTTCAGTATAGTTACACATTTTAAAAAATTAAAAAAATTACTAAACTTATAAATAAAATAAAAAAAACAATAAGAAAAAATCTTTATATATAACAATAATTAAAAATTATTTATATATTTAAATGTTTTTTTCAAAAAAAAAAAAATAGATAACATTTATAGTTATTTAATTGTATTTTTATAAAAAAAACTTAATTTTATTAGAAAACAAATTTTATATTCATTTGATGTTTAATATTTTTTTTAGCATAAACGTATTGTATTTTATTATTTTAATAATTTAATTTATTATAAAATATTATAATTTTCTACACAAAAATATTAATTATATGTTTTTATTATATCTGTTAAATAACTATTATATTATATAATATACTGTATTATTTAAATAAAATAAAAATTTTTTGATCAATGAAATTGTATATTTTTTAAAATGTGAAATAAATTTATATAAAATTATTATTAATATTATAACATTGTTATATTAAAAATAAATACTAATTATTATTAGTATATAAAAAAAATTTAATATTTTTATTTACATTAATTAGTAGTTACTTAATAATAAATTATATTATTATAAAATATTATTATTTTTTTTAATTATAATTAATAATATATTTCATATTCTGTTTTAAATTATATAAAATTAAATTATAAAAATTAAATTATTTTACTATAAAGTTAAGCAAAAAGTAAATTTTATTAACATTTTTGTAAATTATTACATATTTTTATAATAATAATAATTTTCAATGTATTTGTCTATAAAAACTGAAAAAATAGTATTTTATATTAAATTTATTTATTTATTCATTAAAAAAAATATTATATAAATATATTTACAGTATTTTACTTTAAAAAAAATATGTATAAATATTTATAATTAAAAAACAAATTAAATTAATATTAAAAACACAAAAAAACTAAATTAATTTTTAAATCAAACAAACAAAAAGTAAATAATAATTATTATATTAATTAATTAATTTTTTTAAAGTAAAATAATAATAATAGAAATGAAAACTAAATTTTCTTTTTTTCTTTTTTGAACATTTGATGAGTGAATTAACAAACAGTCACTCATCGGCCGCACACCCGACTGGCTGACTGACCGACCGGACGATTATTGCTTAGATACGTCCGACAGTTTGGACAGCCGTTCATTGATTGGCAGATCAATGTAGACATCATTTTTCGGGCTATTCTTGTCTCTCAATTGTAGCTTAATTTTGCGCTCCAATACTAGCGAAGTGGCCGGTTGTTCGGCACCAGCGCCCGGTGCTGTCGGGTCTTGTTGTTGTTGGCCAGCACCGCCATCACCGACACCACCGCCGACAGCCATATCTGGATTTGCTGGCGGCGGCGATTGGTTTAGTTGGCTGTCCAACGACTTGTCCACCCAATCCTCGTCGACACTGATATGCAGATTAACTCCCGGTTGGATCAGCTGTGACTCGTGAGCGAAAGCAATCTTATTGATGATACGTCTGTCCATTTCGTGTTTGATACTACGGGCCCCGTAATGGCAATTGTATTCGTCGGCAATCATACCGACCACACGCTTATCCCATGTGAGTTCAATTTGGTGTCGGGTCTGGGCTTTCAGAGCCCAGGCCTGCAGCTCACGAGTGACCAGTTCGGTGAGTTCCGATCGCGAAAACGACAAAAAATAGACCATTTCGTTGATTCGGCCCAAAAACTCGTCCCGTTTGAAGTGTTTCTTCAGTATCGGCCGAATGACTTGTTCTTTGAAATCTTTGGATATCTGAACGTCGTCGACATCGGTGTCGGACAAGTCGTCCAATTGGTCGCTACCTTCCCGGCGGGCTTTGGCAACGTTGTCGCCAACTTTGCGTAACTGTTGACCGTAGGCACCGATTACATCGCTGGCCAAATTGCTGGTCATTATGAAGATGGCATCTTTGCATTCGATGGTATGGCCTTTGCCGTCGGTCATACGGCCCTTAGATAAACAAATACAAATGTTAGGGAAGGGACAGGTAGCTTACAGTACGGTAGGGATAGAGTTAGTGAGTAAAAGAAAGAGAGAGACAGAGAGACAGAGAGACAGAGAGACAGAGAGACAGAGAGACAGAGAGACAGAGAGACAGAGAGACAGAGAGACAGAGAGACAGAGAGACAGAGAGACAGAGAGACAGAGAGACAGAGAGACAGAGAGACAGAGAGACAGAGAGACAGAGAGACAGAGAGACAGAGAGACAGAGAGACAGAGAGAGACAGAGAGAGAGAGAGAGAGAGAGAGAGAGAGAGAGAGAGAGAGAGAGAGAGAGACAGAGAGAGAGAGACAGAGAGAGAGAGAGAGACAGAGAGAGAGAGAGAGAGAGAGACTGAGAGAGAGACAGAGAGAGAGACAGAGAGAGAGACAGAGAGAGAGACAGAGAGAGAGACAGAGAGAGAGAGACAGAGAGAGAGACAGAGAGAGAGAGACAGAGAGAGAGACAGAGAGAGAGACAGAGAGAGAGACAGAGAGAGAGAGAGACAGAGACAGAGAGAGACAGAGAGACAGAGAGACAGAGAGACAGAGACAGAGAGAGAGAGACAGAGAGAGAGAGAGAGAGAGACAGAGAGAGAGAGAGAGAGAGAGAGAGAGAGAGACAGAGAGAGAGAGAGAGAGAGAGAGAGAGAGAGAGAGAGAGAGAGAGACAGAGAGAGACAGAGAGAGAGACAGAGAGAGAGACAGAGAGAGAGAGACAGAGAGAGAGAGAGAGAGAGAGACAGAGAGAGAGAGACAGAGAGAGAGACAGAGAGAGAGACAGAGAGAGAGACAGAGAGAGAGACAGAGAGTGAGACAGAGAGAGAGAGACAGAGAGACAGAGACAGAGAGAGACAGAGAGAGACAGAGAGAAACAGAGAGAAACAGAGAGATAAACAGAGAGATAGACAGAGAGATAGACAGAGAGATAGACAGAGAGATGGACAGAGAGATAGACAGAGAGATGGTATACCTCATCGAACAGTTGCAATAGTATGGTTAGGACATCGTTGTGGGCCTTCTCTACCTCATCGAACAGTACGACAGCATTGGGACACTCTTTCAGGGCTTTGGTCAACTGTCCGCCGTCGTCGTGACCGATATAGCCGGGCGGTGCACCGATAAATTTGGCCACTTCGTGCTTCTCCTGATATTCGGTCATATCTAGTCGTATGAAACCTTTTTTCTCCGATTTTCCCGAATGCAAATAGCGGGCCACTTGTTTGGCCAGTTCGGTTTTGCCGATACCCGACGAACCGAGAAACAGGAATACGAGCGGATGTTCGTCATCGTACCAGCCGTTCTCTTTGCGTCGTATGGCCGCCGCTACCGTAGTAATGGCCGACTGTTGGCCAACAATAACCTCTTTGATACGATCTTCGAGCGGAAATTTCAATCGTTCCTCGAGTTGTCGCTGTTTCTGGACGTCCGTAAAGTTGGTCTCGTAATCGGCTAACAGCCGACGCATACGTTGATTGTCTTGTTTACAGTAGTCGATAGGTTTGTGTCCGATTTCGTTGTCCATCAGCGGATTGGCCGAGCGTTTGATCAACAGCTGGACGGTCGGCATCGAGTTGGCCAATACGGCATAGTGTAGGGCAGTTGTACCGCGAAACGACACCCGTGTGGACAAAAAATCCGAAAATTCCGATTCGCGTGACATCGCTATACGCATAAAGTCGAGTCCGTACTGATAGGTTAGCTTCTGGCCGCCACTGGCCGGTGAGTAGTCGTCGGTGTCGTCGATATCGGCTCCGGCGTCCAGTAGTGCTTCGCATATGTCTGTCCAGCCGTTAATAGCGGCCAATTGTAATGGTGTCCAACCTAACTGATGGCGACAGTTGTTGATATCGGCAATGGATTTGTCGGCAATCATTTGTCTGACCAATTCGTAGTCACCGCGTTTGACTGCGTCCAACAGTTTCTGCTCTTTTGGTGTGTTCGGGCGTCGGCCACCGCCAACACCACCACCGCCGCCGCCGCGGCCACCAATACTACCGTTCCAGTCATCGATAAGTAAACAATGAACCGGACGTATAGATGATAACCATCGACGGGAGTAATGATAGCCACCTAAAGCACAGCTAACACATGCGGCCAACGATATGGCTGTCCAGGCGTTGGTCGCCGACGACGATGATATCGGTGGTCGCCGGTAACGACCAATAAAAGCGGTTCGCGATGACGACGACGACCAGTGTCTACGATGTCCAGTGGCGGCGATCAGCAGCAGTTGCCGTAGTCTACTTCGGGCGGTCAGCGCTACTGCCGCTGACGATGACGACGACGGCGACGACAGATGTCTTAAACGGCTAACGATTATCATTCGTATAGCACTTGTATTAGTCACACGGCTTGGGATCAGTTCACTGGTGACACAGACAACAGACAGACAAAACACAGTTAAGATATGTGTTGTGTTGTGAGGGAAACAACTGACTGACAGACAGACAGATAGATAGACTGACTGACAGACGGAATACGGAAGAAGTGGTAGTCTTTTCAGACAACAGAAGAATTTCGAGAATTCGAAAACAGAATTCAAACGACAGACAGAATGACGGACTGAATGACTGTTCGATTCTCGAAATATCGAAATCGAATTTTACGTAAAGAATATTCGGGAAAAAAAATTCGCGATTTTTTTTTTAATTATTAGTCAATTGTAGTGCACGCGTGCAGTCAGTTAGTCAGCGCGCGCGCGACAACACATACTGTATAGTGTATTATAAGCTGTACACTAAAACTATTACAAGTCATACTTCATAAACATAGGCCACTAATAATAATTATTTTTTTATTTTTAATATTCTGTAATGTTTTACGTAAACTGTAAACTATAGTAAAGTTAGGTAGAGTATTGTATTGTATTGTATTGTATGTGTGTGTGTGTGTGTGTGTGTGTGTGTGTGTGTGTGTGTGTGTGTGTGTGTGTGTGTGAATGTACAGTATGTATGTATATATGTATGTATTTACAGTATGTATGAATATATACAGTATGTGTATGTGTGAATGTTTGTATGTATGTATGAATGTACAGTATGTATATATACAGTATGTGTGTATGTATATGTATGTGTATGTGTATGTGTATGTGTATGTGTATGTGTATGTGTATGTGTATGTGTATGTGTATGTGTATGTGTATGTGTATGTGTATGTGTATGTGTATGTGTATGTGTATGTGTATGTGTATGTGTATGTGTATGTGTATGTGTGTGTGTATGTGTATGTGTATGTGTATGTGTATGTGTATGTGTATGTGTATGTGTATGTGTATGTGTATGTGTATGTGTATGTGTATGTGTATGTGTATGTGTATGTGTATGTGTATGTGTATGTGTATGTGTATGTGTATGTGTATGTGTATGTGTATGTGTATGTGTATGTGTATGTGAATGTATGTACAGTATGTATGTATGTACATTATGTGTGTATGTATGTATGTACAGTATTTGTGTATGTATGTATGTACAGTATGTGTGTATGTATGTATGTACAGTATGTGTGTATGTATGTATGTACAGTATGTGTGTGTATATGTATGTATGTATGTGTGTGTGTTTTTATGTGTAAAACCCTTAATAAACACTTACCTGTATAGCAATAGCTAGCTTTCGCTATAGACTTTTAGACACTAACGACTTATATACAGTACTTTACAGTAAGTATTACTGTATTATTATTATTACTATTAATATACAGTATATATACTATTAATAAAACTAAAAGTTTTAAAAACAATAAATATTTTTTTTTGTATCAGATTTCAGTTCAAATTTTTTCACCAATTGGTGTCCAATTAGTTAATTAATTATTTTTTTTTATTTAATTTTCATAAATGTTTTGTATTGTAAAATATGTGTCGTTATTGTTGTTGAATATAATTACCGGTAGTTGTACTTAAACTTTAAAATAATAATTAAATCAAAAAAAAAATTTATAATTTAAGAGTAAATCATATTTAAAAAATAAATTTTGATGTTTAATATGTAAATGAAAAATTTTGATTCAATAAGTTATATATAAAACAGAAATTTTTATTAATATATTAATTGTTATATCAATTAATATATATAAAAATTAATAAACAGATTAAATGCTATAACTATATGAATAATAATAATTATTATTATAAATTAATACATTAAAAATTTAAAACACTAAAATAACTAACAAATAAAAACTAAAAAAAATAATAATATAAAACTTTTCTATAGCTATAAATAAAAAAAAAATAAATTATAATACAAATTATAAATTACATAACTATCCAAAAAATATATATATATATACTGTATATATATAAATAATAAAAATGCAAATTACAGTAATTAATAATTTATGAACAATATATTTATTTTAAGCAAAATCATAATTACACAATTAGATACAATTAAATATATATTATATATATAAATATTAAATATATATAAATTGTATTTATATAATAATATAATAAAATAAACACATTTTTTGAGCAAATATAGGCTTGGATTGTATGATAAATTATAATTATTATTATTAGTAAATTATATTCAATATTGTTTCAACAATTAGATATTTATATTAATATATATATATATATATAAATGACAAATTTATTGGTAATTTAATGTTAAATAATTTTATAATATTTATGAAAACAACAATAATCATAAATAAATATATATATATATATTTATAATAAAATAAATATAAAAGTTTTCTAACAATTTATAGTTATTTTATATTTAAAATATTATATTTATATTGTATTTAAAAAAAACAATATTCATGTATTCATGTTTTATTTTATTGTAAATTTTTTTTTCATATTAAATAACATTTATGAAAACTAATTTATAATTAGATATATAATATTTGATTGACTATTGATATATAAATGATAATAAATATATTGTATGTGTAAATATATAGTACAGTAGATATTAAATACAAAATATATAAATTTAAAAAAAAAACAAATATAATTTTATATTTGATTAAAATTTCAAATCAAACAATTTAAATACTTATGTATGAAATTTTTTTTTTGAATAATAATAATTATTATTATTATTGTTAGAAATTTACTTATTTAAATAATTTTTAAAATACTGTAATTTTAGTACAAAAAATATTTTTTAGATAAAATATTTTTCGTTATAATTTCAAATTTCAATTATTATTATTATTATATTTATGATTTTATAATTTATACATACATTTACACACACACACACACACACACACACACACACACACACACACACTAACATACATACAAATAAAATAAACAATTTGTGACCAAATTAGTTTAGACTAGTTTTTTAATAATAATAATAATAATAATAATAGGTTTACTAAAAATAGTAATAATAATAATTAAAAAATATTATTTAACAAACAAAAATTGAAAATTTCATAAACTTAATTTCAATATTTTCATTTTTAAAAAAAAACTATATACTATATATATAATATTATTGTAATTTATGATAATTATATATATTGTTATGTTATGGCTATTGTTTTTTTTGTAAAATAATATTTTAATTGACACAAAAAAAAATATATAAAACATATTTTTTCTTCAAATAAATTTTTATAAATATTTATTAAATGATAATCATTTTGTTGATATATTTAGTTTCAATTTTTTAAATATATTTATTATAGTGTTTTGTTGTAAAATGATTTTTTTAATTGATATCTTTATATTTATAGTGTATATCTGTATAAACTTTTTTCAAATATATATATTTCATTATAAATCAATTGTATTTTATGTAAGTTTTATGACTGAAAAAATTAATAATAATAATAATAAGTATATCAATAACACGTATAATATGTATAACACGTTTACAAAAAAAAAATATTTAATATATATAAATATATACAATAATTGAACACAAAAATAAATTGATAAATGTTAGCAAACATGTTAAACAAAACAAACAAACAAAAAAATATAATTATATAAAATGTTTTTTCGTTTGTTTTGAAACAATTAAAAAATTTAAATAGTAATTATACAAAAAAAAAATAATAATAATTAAATATTAAGTTAGATATTATTTACTAGTGATTAACACACACACACATAGAAATTAAATACATAAATATATATATTTAAAAAATGATTTGAAATAAAATTAAATAATATTTTTTTGGGAGATCTAAACCAATTTATGGTTTATATATCAATATATATATTGTTTATTATTATTATTATTTTCGATATAAGAATATTCTTCAATATCCACAAAAAAAATATCAATCAATTATATACTACTAGTATTTTGAATATATATTTATATATAAATATATATAAATTATTGATTAGTTAGTGACCAACAAAATGACCGGGATATGTATGTGTATTATACTGTAGTATTATAACATCAAATAATAAACTTCAATACAAATAACAAGTTTTTAGTAATAATAATAATAATAATAATAATAATATAGTATATGTATATACAGTGAACAAAAATTATTTAAATTTTTTTTTGACACAATTTATTTAATTTATTTATTATTTTATTAAAAAAAAAGTTTGAGTTTCAAGTTTGACTAATCAATTATCCGATGTGTATGTGTGTATGTATGTGTCACACACCTACTGTTCCCTTAATTGATGGACAGTAGTGTGTGTGTGTGTGTGTGTAATGTTATGTTTAACGATGTGTGTGTGGGTGGGTGTGTTTAAGCTCTTTTGTTGATCAAGTTTTATGGGTGTCTATTGGTGTTTAGTTGACATACGATATGAGTCGTCGATTACGATCAGATGATGGATGTTGTGGTGGTGGCGGTGCTGGTGGTGATGATGGCTGACAGCTGTCTTCAACGATCATTGCCTGTAAATTGCTATCACTATCATCACTATCATCGTCATCCTCCTCCTCCTCCTCCTCTTCATCCTCATCATCATCGGTGGTATCATTGTTGTCATCGGTGGTGGTAATGGATGTTTGAGTGTTTAAAGTAGTAGTGGTAGTAGTATTGGTTGTGTCGACTCCCGACTCTTTATACTGTTGATGAAACCGATTGGTAATAATATTTTTGCACCGTTCGGTCAACTGGTCGCTCATCGATATAATCGATGCCGACTTAACGTCCAGTTGTCTGTCATCAGCGTCATTATCGTCGATAATACCGATGTTGTCGACGACTACGACGGCGGCAACATTTTTGGCATTTCTGATGGCCACCACTTTCGCCGACTGGTCACCTATAGTGCGACCGTTACTGTTGTTGTTGACCACCACTGACTGTGGAGCCGTCGGTGCAGTAGCCGCTGTGTTGTGCTCATAGCAATCGCAGTTCGGCTCATGTATTGACGGATCATTATCGCTAAACATTGGACTCATCGGACAGTATTGGGTACCACCACCTATAGGATTGTATTGTTGTTGTTGTTGATTGTTGTCATCAGATGACCAATCGTTATGTTGTTGTTGCTGGTGGTGGTGGTGGTGGCGGTGTTGGTGTTGTTTAGGATTCAGATCGTTCAGCATTAGCCGATTGGCCGGAATCAGCGAATAGAGAAACCGTTTGAACGGTTCGTGCGATTTGTTAGACGCCGTGGCCGCCGCAGCCGCTGCCGCACGGGTCAAAAAATAGCAAACTTCGCGAAACGATTGGTTGGCGTTCGGCAACAGATATTCGGTAATCTCCGAAAACGATGGCCTGGCTTTCGGATGTTTTTTAAAACAAAACTGCATTATTCGCCAACTAGTTTACCGACGGGACGGACGGACAGATAGATAGATAGAGAGGAAAGGTATCATTAGTTTTCATTTTTGGATCCAATCAACAAAAAAAACTTACAGCTTTTTCGGACACTTTTCCGGCTCCGGTAGCCGAAAACCTTTGATGACTGCATGCAATACATTATCGTTGGTCAGTCCCTGGTAGGGCTGAGCGCCCAGAGTTACAATTTCGTACAGTACAACACCGTAGGCCCAGATATCCGAATAAGTGGTAAATACGCCGTCTTTGAGGGCTTCGGGTGACATCCAACGGACCGGTTGTAGACAACAGTCACGTTTTCTTTACAAAAAAAAAATCGGTAATTATTAATACCTGAGCTAATAATAGACCATCAATTAGTATAGTACACCCCCTAACCTATAGTAGTCGTTATCGTAGATATCGCGAGTCATACCGAAATCGCCAATTTTAACCGTCAAATCTTCGGCAACCATACAGTTTCGTGCGGCCAAATCACGATGGACAAACTTATGGGCGGCCAGATAGGACATACCGTCGGCAATTTCGACGGCCATCTGAAATATCCTGGCAAATGTCGGCACTCGTGGATTAGGGTTTTCCTAACCAAAAAAAAAAAATAAATATATGATATACTAAACAATCCAAAAAAATAATGACAACAACTGATCCCATACGTCACTATCGGGTCGATTGCGGCGCAGATATGTCTTGAGATCGCCGTTAGGCATATATTCCATGAGTACGAGCACCGGGTTTTCAACTGATACAACACCAATCAGTTTGACAATATGGTGACAGTCGACAAAAGATCTTCAAAAAAAAACAAACAAAACAAACCATTAGTCCAATCGGTAAATCACTTATCAGGGGGGGGGGTGACTACCGGTTCCCGGTTAAAGGTCAGTTGTCTTACTTCATAATGTTGGCCTCTTTGAGAAAGTTGTCTCTTTGTTGGACACTCTTGTTCTGTGTGTTCAATGTCTTCACAGCACAGGGAATCAGTTTACTATTACGGCGAAGTTCGCCATAATAGACACGACCGAAGGCGCCGTCGCCTAATATGTCGAAAGTTTTCAGATCCTTGGAGCTGACCTCCCAGTCCGGATCAACTAACAAGCACAGAGAAATGGTATGTTATATTTATTTTTAGGCCGGGAACAGTTGGATCTTAACAGGTCAAGCAAATTAAGATACTAAGTACTAACCGATAAACTTTTCGTATTCAGGATTTACGGAAATTATGTCCAATTGGGAGTTGGATTTTTTCGGCGCCTTCAGATAGCATAGGGCGGCCATCAGTACGAACAGTATGAGCAGTATTGTTAGGCCGACAGTTATATAGACGACTGGTCCGGGATCTGTGTCTTTAGTAATAAATGTTGGATCAGTGGTAACACTGAAGTCTACTGTTTTTTTGTTGTGATATATAATATCAGATTTTTTTTTGATTTTATTCATCACAGATTTCACCCGGGTTTATTTTTTATTTATTTTTTATGGTTAATCATTATTATTAATTGCATTATTATTATTATTATTATCATATATGGCACGTGCAGGAGGACAACATGGGTTTTACAAAAAAATACATAAAACACGCGTTAATAATAACCGGTAAGCATAGAGACATATAGATAGATAGGAGTCAAGCATATTGATAGATACAGGGATAGGGATAGAGATAGGGATAGAGATAGGGATAGAGATAGGGATAGAGATAGGGATAGAGATAGGGATAGGGATAGAGATAGGGATAGGGATAGAGATAGGGATAGGGATAGGGATAGGGATAGGGATAGGGATAGAGATAGGGATAGAGATAGAGATAGGGATAGAGATAGAGATAGAGATAGGGATAGAGATAGAGATAGGGATAGGGATAGGGATAGAGATAGAGATAGGGATAGAGATAGGGATAGAGATAGGGATAGAGATAGGGATAGGGATAGGGATAGGGATAGGGATAGGGATAGGGATAGGGATAGAGATAGGGATAGGGATAGAGATAGGGATAGGGATAGAGATAGAGATAGGGATAGAGAGAGTGAGAGAGAGTGATAGAGAGTGAGAGAGAGTGAGAGAGAGTGAGAGAGAGTGAGAGAGAGAGAGAGAGAGAGAGAGAGAGAGAGASAGTGAGAGAGAGACAGWGAGAGAGAGACAGTGAGAGAGAGAGAGAGAGAGAGAGAGACAGTGAGACAGTGAGACAGAGAGACAGTGAGAGAGAGAGAGAGACAGTGAGAGAGAGAGAGAGACAGAGAGACAGTGAGAGAGAGACAGAGAGAGAGACAGAGAAAGAGAGACATTGAGAGAGAGAAAGAGTGAGAGTGAGAGCGGGTGAGAGATAGGAATGTTTAGTAGTAGTAGTAGTAGTAGTAGTAGTAGTCATAGTAGGACTTACCGCCGGACACATTGAAATAGTGATCATTACTCCATTTGGACCAACCGTTCAATGAATTGGTACGCAAACGAAATGAATATTCTTCGCCATAGATTAGATTAGTTATGGTAAACGATCGGCCATTTCTAAGGTATTGCCAATAATCCAGACAAAAGGTACCGTTTTCTACGTTTGTCCCCTAAATACAGTATTTGTATAACAGTTAGCTATATATATACTGTATATAACAATAGCAACAAAATACAGGTGCAAAACATACATTGTTAAACTCCAGGTACTGTATCTGATAGGATCTGATGGCAACATTTGGTTTAACCGGTTCATCCCATTTGATGGTAACGGTATTGCCGTTAACCCGATGCTCGACAGTGTTGTCAATTATGTTGTCAGCCGATGCTATTCAATTGCATAAAACAAATTAGTAATTAAAATTAATTATATTATCAACAACAACAACAAAAATTAACATATTTATCATTATTATAAAAATAATTATTATTATTATTGTCTAATAAAATACTATAATTATTGTATAATCTATAGTTAAAAATAACAATTAAATAACTTATATTACCAACAAAAAATTATTTATATATTATTTTGATAATTAATAGTAATTTTATTATTATTAATCTCTGTATAAGTAATTTACTTAAATAAATATAATTATGCAAATAAAATATTATTAAATAATTTTTAATAATAAACAATTATGTGATATTTGATTTTTTTTAACTAATTATTAAATTAGGTAATAATCAGATAATTAAATACAGTATATATAAACTAAACAAGGTTTGATATTTTTATTGATTCAAAATTTTTTTTTTATATCTATTAATATTAAATTACTTTTATAATTATAAATTTGCATTATTCTCATTTTTATATGATAAATAATATATGATATAAAATTTATATCCATAATAGAGGAAATTTGTAATTTAAGTAATCGGATAATTTTGAAATATATATACAGGAAATACTGTATATTTGAAATATATATATACTGTGTATCTATAAATTTATAGACAAAAACAAAACAAAAAATATTTTTGTTTAATAAATAAATATATAAATTTATATATAGTATTTATAGATGATATGGATTTTAATTAATGATTTATATATATATATAATTTTTTGAAAATTAATTATTTTTAAAACTTTTAAAACAGATATTTGAATGAAATTAAAAATTTGTTTAATACAGACTATATATCAGATATATATATTAATTTTAATTATGTATTATATGTAAGAAATTTAATTATTAAAATTTACTAATTATTTTATTTTGCAATAAAATTATTTTTATAAATTTAATTTTTAAAAAAAATCTGAAAAGTATAATAAATTTGTAGACACTTTTTGACGTCAATGTATTTATTAAATACAAAAATTAAATTAGAAAATAAATAAATTTTTTTAATTAATTAAACTAATATTTTTAATAGTAATTTTTTAAACTAAAATTATTATTATTATTATTATATTGATACTAAAATTAACTATACCATTGAATTATTAAATCAAAGTAATTAAATGTTTATATATATATAAAGTATTTTAATTATAAATAAATAATTAATTAAATAGCATTATCATAATATTTTATGCAACGGTATAGCATATATTGATATTATTATTATTATATAAAATAATATCAGAAATATTAATTTTATTTATATTAATTAATATAATGATTCAGTAAAATATATATATATATAATATCTATAGATATGAAATTAATATGAAAACTAAAAGTTTTCTCACATTAATTATAATAATAATATGTTATTATTTTTCATATTATTTTACTTATTAGTATCAAATAATAAGTTATAAATAAATATATATATATATATATACTGTATATATAGTCTATAATAAGCAACAATACTCTTACAAGTAATACAATTATTTTTGTAATAATAATAATATTGTTTAGTATAATTTTTTTTTTGTTACTTAATTAATTAAATTACAAACTATTTTTTAAAAATAAAATAATTTATCTAATGTACAGCAGAAAAAATATAAAATAATGAAAATCTAAACTATATCATTATAAAAATAATTAAATTAATTATAGTTTAAAAAACAAAAATTTAAAAGTATGTTTTATAAAAAAAAATTAAAGCAACATTACTGTTGACTACAACAATATAATTTGAATAAAACTCATTTAAATAATTCATCCAGTTAATGTTTTTTTTGTGCAAATAAATCATTATAAATTTTAATTATTTAATAATAATAATAATTTTGATATAATTTAATATGTTTTATGTTTATTGTAAATTATATTAAAATTATTATTATTATTAAAATAATAAAATAGGTAATCTATTAATTAAAAAAAAAAATTAAAACATATTCATAATTCAATAAAAACTAACTAAATATTATTATTTTAAAAAAAAACTTAATAAATAAAAAATTTAAAAATTAATTTAAATAAATAAATAATGTAAAAATTATTTTAAATTAATAAATAATGTAAAAATTAATTAAAATTAAAAATAAATGTTTAAATCTAAATTCAATTGGCACCCCCCTCCCACTAACCTTTAGGTTTGGACGAAATTTTTTGATGGGCCACATCCTCACAGTGGTTAGGCTGCCGATGATGATGATGATGATTATAGCAGGCCTTAACCACCACATAATAGGTTGTCATATGTCGGACGTCCATATCGTAGCCGCCGGCCAAGTGTTTGTAGCCAACCGTTTTGACGCCAACGTCCCGATAGTTTTGGCCACGAATCCGATAGATGGGCGGGTCATAGGTCGGGTAATTGGTGTTTTCGCTAGTAGTTTATCATCAATAATAATAATAATAATAATAATAATAAAATTTCGGGAAATATACTAATCGGAAAACAATTAAAAAAAAGGTATTTACGTATTGACATCATAGGTAACGCCACCCTTGCGATAGACATGCGATTGGATGCGACCTAAAAACTGGTCCATACTTTCAACTTTGTGTCCAACAAAATAGTAGATAACCTGTTGGACAGCTCGCTGGTCGTCCGACTGTAGCTGACAGATGATAGTCTCGTTCGGTGGCAATACAAGTGCCGACGCCGATCCCGACACTGATGCCGATCCATTGCAAACGGTTGTATGCATCTGTAGGTCGGTGCTATAGTCGACAATTTCGTTGACACTGATGATATAGTTGTCCACTTGTTGTTTGGTGGTGGCGGTTAGGTTGTTATCATCATCGGCGGCGGCGGCGGCGGCGGCGTCCCATCGGATATGCAATACTTGATTTTTGTTGTCGTCATCGTTGTGCTGATTGATACTGACATTAAAGTCCGGTAATTGTGACCAACTGTTGTTGTGTCGACCAGTATCCGAGTGCTCTAYATATGTGTGTGTGTGTGTGTGATTAAAATGGACAGTTAGGTTAGTGGTAAGTTTTTATGGGTATAATTTTCATTACAGAGAGAGAGAGAGAGAGAGAGAGAGAGAGAGAGAGAGAGAGAGAGAGAGAGAGAGAGAGASAGAGAGAGAGAGAGAGAGAGAGAGAGAGAGAGAGAGAGAGAGAGAGAGAGAGAGAGAGAGAGASAGAGAGAGACAGAGAGAGACAGAGAGAGACAGAGAGAGAGASAGAGAGACAGAGAGAGACAGAGAGAGAGAGAGAGAGAACCGGTAGCTTAAGTTATATCAGTATATCTAATAAAGTTAAGTGTTTTTTCATCACTTATTATAATTTAAATAGTTTTAACTCCTTGTTTTCTGAACCTATATCTCCGGTACTCTATATATATATATATATACATATATGCAAACTATTAATCTACATGTGCTCTCTCTCTCTCTCTCTCTCTCTCTCTCTCTCTCTCTCTCTGTCTCTATCTATCCTAACCCCACCCCCCCCCCCAAAAAAAACGGTAACTCTATACTCACTGGGAACAGCCTTTCCTAAGGTCCAGAAATCTTGTGTATTATAGATACATAGTTTGGGTACGGATTCAATACGTACGCCGCCTTTAATATGAACCAATTGTTGACTGAAACCCAGTCGTCTCAGTTGTTTCATATCGAAAACTACCAGTGCATAACCATAAAATGATACCCGTCCGCGGATATACTGTAAATTGGGAAACCATGTGGCTAGTGTGGTAACAGCCGGTACACGAAATATAAACAAATAGTCCCGGATTTCGGTCAACAACGGCAGGGATAGGTTGTCCAGTACGGCCCGGGTGTCCCATTCGAGTAGATATATGCGTACCCAGCCGTCCACTTGACGACATCGGCTAAGTTCACGAAACTCGGGACTGTCGACTGTATTATGTATTGTAAAGTTTTTCGTACAGTTGACCACCACTTGATTATTATTATTATGTTTTTGATTATTATTATTATTATTATTATTGTTAATAATCTTATTATTATTATTATTATCATTATTATTATTATTACTTATATGATTATCTATATATTTATAATGAAAATAAATAAATCAAACAAAATTAATAAATCAAAAAAATTTATTTTATGATTAGTTAAAATATAGTGTAAATAATTTTTATTATTTTATTTTTTTTGTTGGTTACTATAAATTATATTAATTTTTTTTTGACTTTTATATCTATATTTTTTTTGTCTAAAATATTTTTTATGCACTAATTTTAAGCAATAAATATTTTTATTTAGTATTTTTCAATTTTTTTTATTAATTATTTATGTAAATGTTTACATCAAATGTCAAATAACATTCATTAAACTCTCTCTCTSTCTSTCTCTCTCTCTCTCTCTCTCTCTCTCTCTCTCTCTCTCTCTCTCTCTCTCTCTCCCTCTCTCTCTCTCTACACACTATATACTGTAAAAAAATATATTTATGATTTACATTAGATGAATAAGTGGAAACATTTTAAATGTACAAAAAACTAAATAAATAGCAATATATATATAAACGTGTGTTTGTATTAGGCTATTATTATTATCTAATTTAGTGTATATATATATATATATAATAGGTATTAAAAGTTTACTAAATAGCTTTAATATACAGTAAAAACAACTACAACTATATTATAGTGTCCACACAATTAACTAACTAAATAAATAAATAAATTTTTAAGACAATTGTATGATACGGTATCCCTTAATTGAGTATCAATTATCAAATCATAAATATATATCAATATATATATATATTGTATATTATTGTTATCGCAATCTTGGTATTTCAATCAATCAATATATATATATATATTTACTGTATTTATTAATATATATATAATAGATATAAAGTGTAAATATAAATATAAGTTTTTTTCAGCTGAAAAATAAGTTATATATAAATAAAAGTTTCTAATATAACAATAATAACTAAATAATACATAACAACAACAAAATCAGACAAACAAACTGAGATTTTTATTACCAATTCCTGGAAATACTAGACATTTTGATTAGTTGCTACCGGTTTTTATGATTATGATTATTATTATTATTATTTTGAATTGCAATTACACAATATGGCAGTGAATAGTAATTGATATTTTATATATATCAAATATACCCCGGTGTATATATATGATATACTGTATATACCATATAATATATATATATATATAATCTAATATATAATAGATACCATAGATATAATTTACTACATAGTATATAGTATACACATACACACATACACACATACACACATACACACATACACACATACACACATACACACATACACACACATACACACACATACACACACATACACACACATACACACATACACACATACAAACATACACACATACAAACATACACACATACATACACATACACACACATACACATACATACACACATACATACATACACATACATACATACATACACATACATACACATACATACACACACATACACACACATACACACACATACACATACACACACATACACACACACATATACACACACATACACACACACATACATACATACATACAATTTGCTTAGACGGCAAACCCTTTATTATTATTTTTTCTACTCAATGGGCGGAATTGGGGGATAAATGTATGTTTGAAATTAGGGACAGACCATACAATCAAACATTCAGACAGTCAATAAAAAATAAATAAATTATTTCATGAGTAGACAAGTTGTCTATAATAGTCAAATTCAAACCGGATCCTAAAGGAAACAGTTATTAGTATTATTATTATTATTATTACAATTATTACTTTATACACTGTAGATGCTGTAGAGGCTAACATCACCACACATTTTTTAGTGTGTAATAAAACACATATGACTTTCAAGTCAATGAAACAATAAAAAAAAGTTTTAAAAACTTTTTTTTACTGTACAAAAAAACAACTGTTAGCTAATGTGCCGACAAAAAAACATTTTGGGATATACAGTACATTACGTATACTATGCGTGTGTGTGTGTGTGTGTGTRTGTATGTATAGTATGTGTGTGTATATGTATGTATGTATGAGTGTATGTGTATGTTTGTATGTGTATGTTTGTATGTGTATGTGTATGTTTGTATGTGTATGTGTATGTGTATGTGTATGTGTATGTGTATGTGTATGTGTATGTGTGTATGTGTATGTGTATGTGTGTGTGTGTGTGTGTGCTTATGTAACAAATGTAAAGTATGAGTAAGTACTGTATGAGTAAGTATGTGTAAGTGTATGTGTATACAGTATATGTGTGTATATATTATATGTATGTATGTATGTATGTGTGTGTGTGTGTGTAATAAAAAAATATATGTGAATGCTTTCAACGGAAAAAAATTTGCATGAATTTCCCGCAAAATAAAACTACTTTTTTCAAAGAAAAATCCTAAAAAATAGTATATATTATATAATATATAATAAATAACTTTTTTTTAAAAAAGAGGTTTACCCTCCTATACCTACAAACATAGTTTTTTAATGGGTTCTCATTATTATTATTATTGTCTATCCATTTTAAATAAGTTAGTAGGGTTTATATGGTGTAGACTAGAAAACTATATATATATATATATATATACCGTAGAGATACACCCATTCCTCCTAACCATCCATTCCCTAAATACCATTCCCAACAACCGTGACTTTACATTAATTAATATTATGTATAACAATATGTAGAGTATATTACTGTATATATCATATAATATATACAATAAATATATATAAACTAATTTAAACAAAGAATTTACATGAATATTATTATATATATTTTTTTAATTGCTATTATGATTATAAATATTTATATATATACAGACAAACATTAAATATCTATTATAATTATTATTATTACTATATATATATATACAAATAAACATTATAGAGATATTAAATGTTATTTTTAATGTCAATTTGCTATATATAAATATATATATATATATATATATAGTGTATTTCATATATTGTATAATAAACAGTGTATATGTTATATCTCGTGATTTTTTAAATGAGTTATTCAACCAAACAGTGTGTGTGTGTGTGTGTGTGTGTGTGTGTGTGTGTGTGGAGAGAGAGAGAGAGAGAGAGAGAGAGAGAGAGAGAGAGAGAGAGAGAGAGAAATATTTTTTTTTGTTTCACATTTTCATTGCCAGATGTCCAGCAAAACAACCAACAAAAAAAACTCATAAAAAATTGTAATTTATATACAAATTTACAAAATGTATTTAATTTATGTTTTCAGACCAACATTTGCTGCAATAATTTAATAGTAATAGTTTTTTTTCAAAAAAAAACAAAATTAAAAAATAAAATAAACTAAAATTGAAATCAGCAATTTGTATTATAATAAAAGTGAGGTAATAATAATAATATAGCTATATTACCCCACATATTGCTAACGTGTRTGTRTGTATGTGTGTGTCTGTGTGTGTGTGTGTGTGTGTGTGTGTGTGTGTGTGTGTATGTGTGTGTATGTGTGTGTATGTGTGTGTATGTGTGTGTGTCTATGTGTGTGTGTGTGTGTGTGTATGTGTGTGTGTATGTGTGTGTATGTGTGTATCTATGTGTGTGTGTGTGTGTATGTATGTGTGTGTGTATGTGTGTCTGTGTGTGTGTGTATGTGTGTGTGTGTGTGTGTGTATGTGTGTGTGTGTGTGTGTGTGTGTATGTGTGTGTAATTGTGTGTGTGGGGCCCCCACTTTCACACACACAMAMACACACACACATATAATGTATATACAGTAACAAACAACAAAAAAATCATTAGCAGTTAGCATTTTTTTTTATTAAGGACGGTTAGGTACTGTAGTAGTAGTAGTAGAGTACAGTATAATAACCCTTTTCCTATATACCTAATAGTATAATATTAGGCAACTATAATATAGCAAACAAAACAATATTATATATATATATATATATAGTTTCTGAATGGAAATTAGTAATTAAAAAACATATATATATATATAAAATTTGTGAAATAATTATTTTAATTTTTGTTGCTTTTTTTATTCAGTACACACACACACACACACATGTGGTAAAAATGTATAAAACAAAAAACATTTATTTTATTTTTAAAAAAAAAACTATCGATACATAGTATATACACACATAGGATACATGTATTTATTTTTTTATTTTTAAAAAAAATAAATGTATGTTTGATGGGTTACACAGTTGTTATATATATATATATATATTAAGTTTAACATACATGTAATCATTGGTAACTATATTATTATTATTATTTTTGGGTGAATAATCATCAACTGGTTTACTGAACCATAATATCTCATTGTTTTTTGAAAGAGTGAGAGAAAGAGAGAGAGAGAGAGACGTTAAGTTTTAATAGCTACCCGTCCCCTACATATAYASTATAGTATAGTATAGTATATACTGTATCTTATATAATACAGTAATACACAATCGGCTTATAGTTAGTAATGAAAATATAATTATAGTTGTAATATATTGAATATATATATATATATATATATATATATATATATATATATATTATATATATATATATATACAGTATATATAGTATATAATACATAACAACAAAAATAATGATGATATTCATATACAATGATAATACATGATTACTATACTATTATTTTCTAATAAGATATATGTGTCAAAAAAACTACATGTGCTTATAATATCAGTTAAAAATTCAATATTTTTATAAATTTTTATTTTTATTTTCATCTTATGTTAACTTAATTTTGCATTTTAAGTTAAAGTAAAAGTTAAAAATTAAAATTATTATTATTATTCATACATTTTAAAACAAATTTATTCACTTAACATTTTAATTTAAAATATATTCAATATATATATGATAATAAAACTATACATAAAATAACATAAAATACTAATTATGTTAAAATTGTAAATATATCAAAACATAAAT